CAGTAGTCCCATCCACGATCAACGAAGATGGCCCCGATAAGAGCTGAAAATAAAAAGATCTATGTTGTTTCTAGGTAAGATTAATTGCAACAAACCTTCCACGAGATCGGCTTTGTCCTTTAAACTAAGTTCAAGGGTGCGCGAACCACCACCAGGTGGTTCAATAATGAAATAGTGCAATCCGAGATCCTCGCAAATTTGAGACTGAAAATTCAAAGATGATGACAGAATACGAGCAAAATCTATATAATTTCAATACGCCACCTGAGTCTCGTTGCAAACCAGACAAGTTCTGAGAAGCGAAAGATGACCCTCGTGATGGTTAGGAAAATGGTGATAAAGATAGTCAGATATGATCAACTGCAACACTGCATCACCAAGCCACTCCAACCGTTGGTTGTTGCCACTAAAGAGATGCCCAATAAAGGATTCAGAAGCCTTATTTCGGGATGACCACTGGGTGAAAAAAAAAAGAATAAAAATTCATCAAAATACAGAAATCAGCTGCCAAGCGATTATCATTACCATGTAAGTGTGTTATAGGGGACGTTTCTACGTGTCAACGCTTTCGCCAACAATCGAATATTTTGGAATTTGAATCCGAGAATGTTCTCAAGATCAGTTAAATCAGTCAACTCCTCCGTACTTGCTATCAGCATACGATCCCCTTCTGGTTGTTCAATCTATAACAGAAATTAAGCCTTTTTTGTAAGATGCCAGCCTTTCACGTACCTTCAAAGGATGTTCGGGAACATTTAACCACAGATCTTTCACCGATGTTTCGTCCCCGAACATGGCATTGGCAAAAATGCTGAAGAAAGTTGCAGCAGTTGCTTGCAGTTCAACCTAGAAGGGGAAGTTCGAAGCAGTTGTTACCGGTCGCATTCTTCTATCCCCGCATCCAAGTATAAAGCAGCAAGGACAGCTTCAAATGTATTTGCCAGTGATTTTCGAAAATCTTCTTCATCACATAAATCTATTCCATGGGCGTACATCATCCAGTCACCTAGTCGCAGTTTCTAAAG